GGTCACATGATCCCCCACCAAAGCGCTCAACTTAGCCTGAACGGACTGTACTAACGGTGGGAATTATATGCACTTAATATCATGGATATATATGCACATATATATATATATATATATATATATATATATATATATATATATATATATATATATATATATATATATATAGACGTATATTCGCTCTTATACAGGCCCGCACAAGATAACATTAATACGTTTTAAAGCCCAAAGCGACGTTATAAAACCCGGCTTTGGGCTTTACAACGGAGCCCGAGTATATAGTAGCCATTCGATTCTCCTTTCTTTCTGCACCCTCCTGTTAAAATTTTTGATGGGCCTCAAAAAGTACCATTTATGCATTCATTTATACAAAAAGTTTGGAGAATTTCACTGTAGGGGGCGCTTCTGAGTATATATTTATACATTTATATTAACCTATCGTTATCAGCCCCTAAACTTGGCAACACTGCTGGGCCCGACAACGCGCGTACAATATATTTTTATAAATATACGGCGGCTTTAGAAATTAATCATAAAAGCACTATATGTTGGAGGATATTTTATTGTAGCAGTTTACTGATCCATAAATTGCTGTTGCAGTCCAAAGCGACATACAATTTTTAAAACCGCGGAACTACACCTTTTTTTTTAATTTTTTGGGTTTCCTGTAAATATGTATTATTATTTGGTTCCAGAATTCAATTATAAATTTATTTTATTTTTAATAAATTTGCGAGGTTGGCAGAGGAGCTAAAATAAGTAATTACAATTATTTGTTCGTGGATTACAATTTTTAGTGTATTCCATGTATAACAGATTTATATATTTGCATGGATCCCCTAGGGGCAAAGTGGTGGAAAAGAGGATAAAATAAAAAATATACATAATATATTACTAATACTATTATTCCCAAACTGTTAGTAATGATTGTTATAAAGTTAGTATAAAGTATTACAAAAGTTGTTCTGGTTTTACAAAAAAGTGGCTAACTTTTATAGCAATTAATAACCATGTATAGAGAACTGTTTAGTAAATAGTACTAAAAAATCAAAATGGCCTCAAGTAATTAATGGATGCCCCCTAATTAATTACCACGAGTACTATTTGCAACTACAAATAATATTTGCTATTACACACCTTAAAATATTCGACATATATTTTTAATTGCGAGTTGTATTTGGAGGACAATTTTATCGAACAAATGATTAAAAAATAATAAAAAAAATTGAAAAATATTTACCTGGTAGCACTAATGCCATATTCGCTGCAATTTGTACTAGTCCAATTTTCTAAACAATTACTCTAGATAGGCTAAAAATTGTCAAATAAAGCTCAGAGACCTTGGTTTACTTTTGGCAGATGACAGGTAAAAATATTGCCCTACATAGTCTAAGCGATTATTGGAATTAAAAATATATTAATATATATTTTTTCACCATAATATTTACTTTTATCATACACAATTTTTTTATATACAGACGTTGAGTGAAGGAGCAGTTATTAATCAATGATTCAGGCGTTTCAATTTTAAATATATTCAAATTTTGCACTACCCTAAAATAGGTGATAAATATTCGTTTTAAAGAAAAGAGACTAAAAATTGTTTTTTTCAGTAATGTGACACATATAAAAGTCTATATGCTCACAAACCCCTGTTGGTTAATATTCTAAACAAGAACATTTTTAAAAATATTTGATTGTAGTTTAAAAAAAAATACTGCTGGCCAATAAATATATTTTTCAAATTTATAGAAAACACCTAACCCCTTACCCCTTAAGGGGTAAACTTGATAATATCTATAATATAGATTCTACATGTCATTTTATGCATATGCACGGAGAGAACAGTTTTGGGAATGGTTACTAAAAAGTTTAGTAATTTGGGGACAGCTTTAATATTTTAGGAGTGGGCGCTTTTGGGTTTAGTAATAATTTTCATATATTTAGCATAAGTGTTGTTTGGCAACTATGCCTTTACTGAAAAATAGTAATTACAAAATGAAGGAAGATCTAAACTTGAGTTTAATAACTACACTATAAAGATAGTTAACTATTTTGAATTTACCATTAAATATGCACAATTAAATAATAATAATTAATTTAACCGAATTAAACGATAACCAACAAAATGCAAAAGATAGCCGACCAGGGCCGGATTTACCGAACAGACAACGTAGGCAGCTGCCTAGAACGGAAAAAATTAGGGGTAACTAAATACTTTGGATGAATTTGGACAGAATTTTTTCTAAATTAGTATAGCATACAAAGTTCTTGATAAAAAATATCCGAGAATTTTTGCATGCATTGCTTGAATAAACACTTCGTGACAAGTGTCTTCAATTAAAAAATTTCAAAATATAGAATGTTTAAGAATAAAATGATGATGAAGTGAAAAACTACTTGAGATAAAAATTTGTTGAAGAACGATTAAACGCACTCTCTCTTAGCTATAAAGTCAGATTGTCTCATGTCTTATTTCTATATTATAGACACGCCAAATTCCTAAATCCGAACCTGTAGCCGACTACATAGAAAAATAATATTGGGAATTTGCTTCCACACTTTTAGTATATTAATTAAATACAAATTAATAATATATTGTGAAAAGTTTTAATATAACTTAAAAGTATTATTGAAATGTATTCTAAATTAAAAAAGTAATAAATTATTAACTTAATAATGACACGTTAAATATTAATTATTAATATTTTATTTTATAGTAATTACTATAATAGTATATTATGTATCAAGTTTTATAAACGATATTTTAGTTACGAGTTTAATTAAGCAAGAGCGAAGCTTGCGAGCGAGTGTTTAATAAAAGCTAGTGTCTAAAGAAGTTTATAAACGAGTTACATACTATACTCTATCTACGACGAACACAAAACAAAATTTAAGACATCTGTCAACTGTCACCCGGATTTAAACCTCACATTTTCTAAATTTATAATATAGCTAACTTAAAAGGCACTGTTGCTAACTTCAGCTCGGGACTAAAATGCCATAAAGCCACACCTGTGCACAGGTCGTCAATAGAGGAGTAGATAAAATAAAATATCAATAATTAATATTTAGGATTCATTACTTTTAAGTTAAAAAGTTAAAAGTTTTAACAATCAATACCTACGAAATATTAATGGTAAAATGTTTAGTAATGGTTATTTTACAGATCGTATACTTTTACAAAATGTTCTGGTTTTACAAATAAAGGAATAAATACATAAGTTTTGGGTTTCATTAAGAATAGATTAAAAGCGAATTTTACAGAAAAAAAATATTGCAAGAAATTTAAGTCAGATATGCCTTAAAAACTGTAAGTCGTTCTTTATTTTATACTTAAAATGTATTTTGCAAACGTTAAATCTGTCAATATTAATTTTTTCTTAGTGTTCTATAGGATTTCAAGATATTTAAAATAATAAAAACTCCAATAAAAATATTTACATTTATGTATGGTTGTTTTGCTAATTAGCAATATTAATATAAGTAAATTTTGTCAAAAATACCACATAAGTAAACAGTTTTACACTGGATTTAAAAAAGGAAAAATGTCTAGTTAAAAAAATACTGGTGAAGCCAATTATACTCATATAAATTAATTTGTATAGAAATAAATAAGAAGATTTTTGTATATTTATTATTTTTATATTGCAGTAATAATACTTAATAATATAATTATTCTAAATTATATAATAAAAGCTATAATTCTAATTTTATTATATTTATTACATGTTTATTGGGATAAATTATCAATATATTTATTATAATAAACTTAAGATTCTGAGATTTTATGTTATCTTGAAGAACTTTTTAATAATTCTAAAGTACATTTTTTTAAATTGTGAAATTTTAGGGATAATTATAATTATTAGTATTATACTATATTATAGTATTTCAGTATTCCAGCAAATACTATACACGAACACTACTATGACAAGCCCGTAAATTTAAGAAACCACAAATGCAGAGTATTAACGAATATTTAAAGCTTGACCTTGAATCTAAAAATAGATTTGTTACGGGTAGAATTGGCAACACCGCTGGGCTTTACAGCGATTAATCAGTATATATTTTTATACTAGTGGGCTTTTCAACGTATTAATAATATATGCTTGGGCTTTACAAGAACAAAAATGTTTCTACCGACAATCCTATAGGGAAATCTTTACCCCTCGTCTTTCCCCTCTATAGGTTTTAAATGATTTAAATGAGATAGAAGATAAGTATACACGCCTAAACCACTAGCAACTGCAGGGCTCCGAAGATACCCATCCGTCTCCGGGCTTCAAAACATACCATTTATAGGTATATATATATATATATATATATATATATATATGCATATATGCACAATTTTTTTCAATTGTATGCACTTTATATTACTAAATATGCACATATATGCTAAAATTTTTGTAAAAATAAGCAAAAATATCAAAATCCTCCATGAATATATGCAAAAATTTTGGAAACTATGTACATATATGCTTAAAATTTTGTTAAAATAAGTAAAATATTCTTAATAATACATATTAATTTGCACTTATATTTTTAATTAGTTACAGAATTTTAAATAACAACAACTAAATGTTTTTCTAAATTCTCAATCACAAATGATTGTCTGCGATCAGTCAATATTTGTTTGTAGGATGAAAAGCTTCTTTCTACATCAACCGATGTAATCGGTGCAAATTTAAATTTGCTGATAATTGATGGATCCATTTGAATATTTTCTTCGTGGTTTTCTCGCAATATATTGGATATTTTTGTAAGTAGATTAAGCCCCTCATTTTTTCTTAAAACTTTCTCTTACTTAGTTTTTATCCGTTCAGCTATTGTACCTTTAGTACTATTAATTTTTGTATTTAAGTTTAAAATCAATTCTACAGATTCAGAGAGTTCTAAACCTTGTGTTTCTAGTTTCAATAGTAACTCGCTAATAAACCTAATTTTTTTTAAACAAAAGCTAAATCTTGAGGGTGTGTCGCAATATTTAATATAATTTAGCAATCTCGAATTGCTATTGAATCTTCTGCAAAGGAGTTCAAAATTTCTTTTATCGGTGCGAAATTGTCAGCATAAAAATGAGCGGCATTAAGCCATGTACCCCACCTTGTAATAACGGGTTGTGATGGAAGGGGTACACCGGGTAGTTTATCCTTATAATATTGAATTCTCAGCGGTGATTTAGTAAATATTTTTTTTGCAGAATTGACTAAAATATTAATGTCTTGAAATTTGTTGCGTATTTCATCTGCTATTCTGTTTACTCCATGCCCCAAACTTGTGACGTTGATTAAATTACTGTAAAAAATCTTCAAATTCTGTGCAGATTTCAGCATGTAGGCTGCTGCATCCGACAACATTAGTAAAACTTTTTCACTTGGAACAGCATTAGATATATAAAACTTTGTCAAGGAATCGTTAACAAATTTTGATATAGATACATTATTTGTTCTATCTAATTCTTGAGTGCCAATTAAATATGATTTGCTGGCGAAATTTTCATTTAAAGTTCCGGTTAACAAGTTGACAATATATCGACCACAAGTATCTGTTGTCTCATCTACAATGGAGTATATGTAGTTGTAGCCTATTATTTCTTTAATTTTAGGCATTATATCATCATATACTATGTCAACGTATTTTTTCTTATGGTTGTTCTATCAGGTATTGAAATTTTAGTATATTTTTCCAAAAATGTTTGTTGGATTGTCTAATTTTGAAAGCGGAATATTTGAACCAATTAAGGCATTGCATAAGTCAAAACGGAATGATTCCTGTTCTGTTTTCTTCGACGTTGAAGCAAACGATTAGTTCTAAGTAATTTGTGGTGTAGACTTAAATTGCGTTGATTTGTTTTTATGCAAATTAGTACCAAGATTCTGTGTTATTTGAAATTTTTTATCGCATAAGAATAAAAAAGTAAAGAAAAATAACTTACAGTTTTACTACAATATTTAAAAAACACACTGCCATTATCGAAAAAAGTTCGGGATAATTCTTTATCCACAGCAATACTAAAGAATGTACCTTCGGCATGTCAGTTACCGCCAAATAGAATGATCAAAATAAAGATTTAGTTAAAATACAGGGACTTCCCAGGTTAATTTGCAGATTTGCCTGGCATCTATAAATGAAATGTTTAACTACCAACCGCGTAGCAATGTGCAGCGTTGACATTTTCACATTCGAAGCAGCGGCTTTAGTATCTGTGAATTTCGGATAAAAATCTAAGAATTTTTGGTTAAAAATTACTCATATTAATTTAAGTGACATCACTGCACTGCATTCTGCGTATTTTAATAAAAATTCGCCAAAAAAATTTACAAATATGACCAAATATGCAATTTTTAAAAGAATATGCTTAAAACGGTTAACATATGCAAAATAAGCAAAATAAAATTAGGCTTAAATGCTTTGTTTTAACGTGATTCATAAAGATATGGTAAACATTTTTGACGCATATCAATGTAACAAAATATGCTTTTGTCAGATAATCCCATGGGAACTGCAGCTTTAATTATTACCAGTATAAATATAGTTTAATTTTGTTTAATATGTAAAATGACATACGAATTCTAAAAACTACAAATTTAATGAAATAATTCGGTCACAAAAATGATTTATTTCAAGTTACATGTACCATTTTAATTGTAAATAAACATATATTTATGGAAAAGTCCATGTTTATTGTATATTTACATTCTTAGAGTAAAAAGTTGCTGTAAGTTTACATCTTAAATGTAATTGAAAATAACGCGATTGGCTGACATATATCACATGATGCGCATCGATGCACAAACATGCATACCATTATGTTTCTATTATGGTGAATTGAAACACGTGCAGAATTTTCCTTAAAATTTTGAAAATTTTGATTCATATTTCTGACATTTTATGAAGTTTTTATATACATAGGTATTAAATCAAAATGTATCCCTTAAAAATGGATTAAACAACAGTTTTTCACAGTGAAAGTGAAGAAAATATTTTATTTACACTTCACGGTGGAGTCCGAGCCTGACTTTAGGTTATACCTAGTTTACTGCCGGCGAAATTAAAAGGTCAGTACAATGTTCATATAAACTTTTCAAATATTGTCGTTGAGAAACTATTTAATGATTTTGTATTTTTGTATTGAGATAATAAAATAATTTTTACATTTAGTATTATTTTAGAAGCACTTTATTTTAACGATTGTATGACATTTGACAACTGTCAACTAAGTTAAAGCTAACTTTAGCCCGTGACTAAAACGCCGTAAAGCCACAACTTCTCAATGTGTATTTAAAATGTCACTTAATGTCATGGAAACATGTACGATAATGGGCGTTTTAGGTGGGAGTAGAATAATATAATACACATATTTTTTTACAGAAACAACAAAAACATTACGGGCATTTACAAAGATTGCAAGCAATCATTTTTTAAAATTTAAATATAATATTTTTAAAAGTCACATTTATAGAAAGCATAATTTTAAAGAAAATAGAAACAGTTCTATATAGACTTAAAATTGGACAGAAATAAATATACTTATTCAATTCACAATTTCAATTTGCATTTTCAAATTAAAAAAAAAATCATCTCATGTATGTATGCACATAAATTCCGGCCAAAATATGACATGTCAATTTTCTTGTAAATTAATAAAATTGTTTTAAAATTCACATAATTTAAGAAATCATATTTTAAGAAACCATTTTAATTAAACAAATTGTTACAGTTTTAAGAATATTGAATCAACCCTAATATTAAGTCAAGATACAGAAGTTTTTGTTTTGAATAATAGATATGTTGTTAGTGTTTCAGAATCAAAGAAATCTATTTCAGATTAAAAAAAAAATAAGTTTAAAAATGATGGATACTTTTCATTTGGCCTTAAAAAGTAAGTATTTTGTCAATTTTCGTAATTTAAATAAACTTAATACAGAATTTCAATTAAACAATGCAAAGATAAATAATTTAAATATTAATAAAAATTAACTTCTACAAAATGAATTTTATAATTTAAAACGTGGGCCTTTGCACATATTGTTTCAGAAAATATACAAAAAAAGTGGTAGTGCAACTACAGGGCAGTAGATGGCGTTTACATGAATAATACCATAGAATCCATAGATTTGGGACCTTAGAATACCAAAATGTCAAAAGTATGTTTTTAGCCATTTTTAAAGAAATTTTTAACTATAAAACCCAGAAATTTTGCCATCTTAAGTCAGTCTTTGGTATATATATTATTATTTTATGTATTTAACATATATTTTGTTAAATATTCTAATATGATTAATAATAATCCTATTTACCTCTCTAACAGCTCTTAAAGGTAATAAAGGTCCATTATTATCCTGTTTTGCCTTCAAATAGCGAATTAAGGATGATACCAACTCTTGACTCCGACTATTAAAATGCTTCGGCATTTTAAATATAGAAAAAACAAAAAAAAAACGATAAATAACAAACACAAAAACGGCAATAAAAACTTAAACGATATAAAATAACACAAATAACAAACAAAACAGTTTGACAGCTTGTCAATTTCTTTTTCTATGCATCATTTTATTAGGCAAAATTTTAATCTAAACATGACAACATTGCAATTGCTGCCAACTTAATTTGGTTCAATTACAGACTTCGTTTTATACATTTATTGTTGGTACCAGTGCGCAAATGTACCTATATTAGGTACAAGATAACAATATTGTTGTTGTTGTTCATATTATTTTTTTATTGTATTGTATGTATAAATACATATGTACATATGTATTTGTACCAATACAAATGATTTTATGTTATGTATTTTTTTAAATAAATGTTAACTATATTTACTTACTTTTAATTTGGTTAGATTCTTTTAGAAACTTTCTTGACCCATTACTGGTAGTATTCATAAGAAAAAATTGAACCTACACCTCGCCAAAGTTTTTTTGTTTTGAGGGCGTTCCACCAACTTGACTGTCTGTCGGTATTTGAAGTTGGTGGAACGCACTCAAAACAAAAAAACTTTGGCGAGGTGTAGGTTCAATTTTTCCTTATTTTTACTTTTACTTTGTCAAACTAGTCATTTATTTTTTAGTATAAATAAAAAATCGTTATACACTGAGAGAAATGATATTATAAGAAGTTTTGCTAAACCAAAAATTATAACACTTATTAAAAATCTCATAACACTAAGAAACAATAATAGCATATTTCCTAAACTAGGTTATAATGAATATAATATTAGATTTATTAATACGAGAATATACACCTAATAATTCTACATAACTATGACAAAAATGCGCATTTCTGCTGGTATAAGAAATTGTATCCAAATAAAATAGCTTATAACTACTATAAGATCAGTTACTGTTGTTATTAGAAATACTATTATTATACCAGCGTACGTGACGACCAACAACATTCGTTATTTTTCTCTTGGATGTGTTTGTACTGTGCAGTCATTTCTTATTTTCTATTGACATACCTGCATAAAAAGTTTGAATCTATGTAAAAGTGCTTAATTTTATTTGTTACTGTTTTTGTTTAATTGGCCTATCTTTGGTTTATTGTAAAAGCAAGTGAGTGCATATTTTACAGACAGCGTTTTTCCGAAGTTTGATGATGATATGGAAAGTTTAAGTAGAAGTGTAACCATGGTGCACCATTAGTGATTAAAATTAACGAGTAAGTCTTAAAAGCACAAATTATAAAATAAATGATATAATTTATGTTGATTTAGACGAAATACCTGTGCTTGTTTATAAAAAACTTAAAAAATATTTTATTATGTTTGTTTACCTTGTTTTTAGGCTATAGTTTAGTAGGTTTAACCCAAGGTTAGTAGATTAGACAGGTTGCATGGTAACTTTCTGGCACCAGCCATTCAACGCGCAAAATGACGTCACTGTGGGGGTGCCCATTTAAATAAATAGCATTTAATGTAGTAAAGCAGAATGGCCCACCCGATGACGCGTTGACCAAGCAGTTACCATGCAGCCTGTAACCATATGCATGTAACAGGTTACCTGTTTAATCTACTAACCTTTGGTTTAACCTATACATTTTTGTAATAGATAGTTACCTAAATTTATCTTGTATAGTTTTTTTAATGAAATAAAGAAAACTTGTATATAGAACATTTTATTTCTATAGCAGTATGTTTTATATATAATACGTTATAATACGTTATACATATATAAAAAATAAAACCAATGTTATAAACCTTATAACACCTTCTAATATGCATTATAAGATATTATAAACTATATTGGGCGTATTATTAATGCCATTAGAAATATGTTATAAACCTTATAACACCTTCTATTACTTCTTATTAGAAGTGTTATCAATCTCATTATAAACAAGTTATAAACCTTATAACATAATCTAATACTCATTATAAAACTGAGTCATAAACAATAATAGAAATTTTCTAAAACATAAAAGAATATTAGCATCTTAAATTATAATTACCATGAGGAAATATATTTTAAACGTTATAAAATCGTCTTACTAATCTTCAGATGATAACAGTAATAAATCGATTTATTGTCCAAATAGGTATAGAGATTTATTATATCCATTATTAAAAAAAATTATATTTCTTATAATATTTTTCTCTCAGTGTACAAGTAGGTATACATTAAAAATTAATCAAATAAAATAACTATATATTGAATTAAATATAGAAAATACAAAGTTTAAATATTATTATTTCTTTACATGTAGTTTGTTTTAGAAGGAAGGTGTGAAACAAAAATAGTATTCTCAGTACAAAAATATGTTTAATCCACATCTGATTTTTTTTGTTAATGTTAAAAGCAATATAAATTTAATATTTCGATCAAGAAATAAAAATTTCTTTTTATCATTTCTTTATATGATAAAAGTAATTGAATTTTTCTTAAATGCAGAAAAACTTTATGACAATCTAATATTTTATTAATCCTTTTAAATTTAATTTATCGTTAAAAAATTGGACCATATTAGGATTATATATATTTTTTAATTTTTGCAGAATAATATTTTCTATAGCTGTTTAAAACAGTCTGTTTTTGTTTGTCACCTTCGTCTTAAAAGACCCTGTATACTTTCAAATTATTAACTTGAACAAGATGTACAATAAAAATGTAAAAATACAATAATATGGATTAATTCATTAATACATTAATTTCATTTAAAAAGTAAAAAAAAATTCAAATGGACATATATTTACATATACCTAAAGTGTTAATTTACCTGCAAAATGGAAGTATTTTACATATTAAATCTAGTTCTACATTTTGCTTGTAAAATAACATTTAAATTTAATATTTCGGAAACCAACAAGGCATCAAAATTGAAACTAAATGACACGTCATTAGGAATTCCGATCATAAATAACATCTCAAATATCAAAATAAAAATAATGAATATTTAATATCAGCAGCCGGACCTGTGCAACTGATACCGCTTAAGCAATTAAAGATTATTGTGTAAACAGCAATATTAAACTTCTAAATGCGATAGTTAATTCAGAAATCATCGAGAATGTGTAGTTGTTATTTAAAAATCGTGTTAGCCTTGTTAGTATTGGTTGGCTATTGTTCTTGTGAAGTTAGTACCAACAACAACTCGAATTTTGTGGATATTTTGTTAAATTTTGTGGAAAAAAATGTCACGGAAAGTTTTGATTCAGAAAATTTTACTCTACGTAAGTTACGTTTTGTTTTTTTGTTTACGCATTTACTTTATATATTTATATATCCAAGGACGGATCCAGGGAGGGTCACGACCCTCAAAAGCAAAATCAATTTAAAAACAGCATTGTATATAGTTTGAAAACAAAAAATCAATTTTTCTGGTATCATTAGCCAATTTACATGATTCCCTTAAACAAAACTTAATTTGATTTTGCCTTTTGCATAGAAAAGCATGATATAACAATTTTTTTTTTATTTTTCAACTCTTCCAGTTGAAGTTAATTTTGTTTTTTGTTTTATTTTTGTTTATTTTAAGAATAATTAAAAATATAAACCGGTTTTTATTAGAAGTGCTGGTAAATATAAATTATAATTATTTCTTTAAAAATACCTATCGTTATAATAAAATGCTTGTTGAAATGGCTAGCCAAAAATTCATTTATTTTGTTTTACTGAACTACGGTTTCGCGAAATAATCGAACGGTCGATTTGCAAGGATTCAAGAAATGGATTGAAACTATTTTAACTTATTTCTACATCTAAATACAGTACTTTGTTTAAAAAAAAATCTCGTCCATTGATAACTTTGTTTTTATTTTTATTTTTTTCTTCACTGTGTTAAAAATGAAGAAATTTCATTTTTCTTAAATAACTTTTTTATTAAAAGACGTATCGATTTGAAATTTGTAAAAAATGTAGATCTTACTAAATTTTGATTAGATTATTTGAGTTTTGAATTAGCAGTAGCAGTATTCATAAATGTTTAGTTTAGTACATTTTGTCATTTTTATACAAATATTGTGTATCTTTTATTAATAATTAAGTATAGCATAACACATAAATGACGTTTAATATATGGGGTGTTTCACGTACGTAGTCCGTTAGAAGATCCTAGGGAATCGCGAAAGACATCGATTTAAAATTTTAATAGCATAAATTATTCGCTTTAGACTTTTTTCCTAAATTATTTTAAACAAAATAATACTTTCTGTTTTACCGGAAATGTCTTTAACTTAGTTAATTTAAACAGAACACATGATATATTTTTACATTTTTTAATTCTACATAAAATTCTGAGTAAAATGGATATACCATATCCTATACATAAAGTCAATATTTTTTCAGTAATTAATTTTTCAATAAAATATTTTAATTAATTTTAAACAATGACAGATTTAATAGTAGCCATGGATACTGTCACATTAAACCGCATGTAGAATTTCACAGGTTTTTTTATAAGTACAAAATAGTATCGAAAATATTAGAAATTGTTAAATTTCTCTGAAATTTTAACTTTAGGAAATCGAAAGGTTCTTTAATGTTCTATTTGATTATGTTAAAACATACAGGGTTTTACATTTATAATAAAACGTTATTATTGTTTGAAGTTTACCTGATTTCAAGTGGTTTTTCTCAAGGTATTTGTTGAAAAACCTTTAAAAAATTAAATTATTTAAACAATGTTTTAATATTCCAAAAATTTCAACCCCATGTCATCAAACATAATAACAAAAAAACTATTTTTGATTAACGTGAATTTAGCAAAATTTTAACAAAAAAAATTAATATTTATACATTGTATAGTCTAAATCAAATTGGATAATATTATGCTATTCAAATTTCAAATCCATATCGTTTGCATTTCTCCAGAACACCCTGTATAGCATTACATTAAATATAAAAAAAATGCGAAATAACTAATTACAAAAAATCGAAAAACAACAGAATAAAAAATATAGATACATCTAAATAATAATAATAAACATAAAAAATAGTCTTTATTCTAAATCATTTATTGGGTAAATATTACTTTTCTCCGTTTGGAATTAAAATTGAAGCTTACTTATCGATTAAAAAATAAATTGAAAATTGAAGGTTGGTTGTGGAGCAAAAAATAAAATTAAAATAGGTTATATATTGTAGAAATTTTAACTTATAATTTCTAACATGCTGACAGTGTCTAGGTATAGTTATTATTTAGTTTATTCATTTTATTTTTGAGTTTATAGTACACTTATAAATTGAAACGCAATCAGTCATTTGCAACGTATAAACTGAACTGTCATGATCAAAATTAGTAAACTTGATTTTTTAAAATAAATATGTAAGAATTGTTTGTTATATATAATATATTATATGTAATATATAATACATTATCTTATAAAACTAGATAAAAGAATATATAATTTGTAAAACACGTTATAACGTACTACGAGTATAGTATAACTCTTTGATGGCCTAAAAATGGTGTCTCTCGTAGAAACATAATTTACATGTAGAAGTTTATATATCAAATAATAGTTAATTATCAGTACTTTAACTTGATATACTTAAAATTATAAAACAACGTTGCTTCTTCGACTTTTTAACCCTTAAAAATGGTAAAATTTTAAATTAAATTGTCCCCAGAGCCATGGGCGCCGCTACATAGGGGCAGGGGGGGGCCCGGGACCCCCCTGGAAATTCATACCCAGAAATTCATACTTCATAATTTGACTGTAAGTGCTGATCGCTATCATTTGTTCATTATATTTTAATTTAACATAATTTGTATAGCGTATACATACTCTCTAAAAATGAATTAGTCAAAAATTATTAATTTGATAGTTATAAGTGGCTGCTTTTTCACTTGTACCATGGTTAACCATGGAATACCATGGTATCCTAAAATTTAACATCCAATTCTTATGTAAAATTGTCCCCTGAATCCGAAAATACCGTCAAAAATTATGAAAGTGGAGCAGTTTTTGAAATATAGTCAATTCCATATTACATGGAAAATTGACTATATCTCAAAAACTGTTTCACTTTTTTAACTTTTGACGACATTTTCAGATTCAGGGGACAATTTTACATAATAATTAGCTGTTAAATTTTTGAATACCATGGTATTCCATGGTTAACCAGAGTACAAGTGAAAAAGCAGCCACCAATAACTATTAAATTAGTCATTTTTGACTAATTCATTTTTAGAGAGTAAGACGGCTGTACTACTAGAGGAGATTCCTCGGCGATACAATTTTTTTATATTTATATATTTACCAAAAAACTGTGATGTATTTTTTGCAATATGTACCAATATAAATAAATAGGTAAATATACATATAAAGATGATATTTTATTTGACTTAAGTTTAATGTGAACTTCTACTCTCTAAAAATGAATTAGTCAAAAATGACTAATTTAATAGTTCTTAGAGGCTGCTTTTTCACTTGTACCATGGTTAAGCAAGGAATACCATGGTATCCCAAAATTTATCAGTAAAAATTGTCCCCTGAATCCGAAAATACCGTCAAAAATTATGAAAGTGGAGCAGTTTTTGAGATATAGTCAATTCCATATTAAATGAAAAATTTTGACGACATTTTTGGATTCAGGGGACAATTTTACATAAGAATTGGCTGTTAAATTTTGGGATACCATGGTATTCCATGGTTAACCATGGTACAAGTGAAAAAGCAGCCACTAATAACTATTAAATTAGTTATTTTTTACCAATTTATTTTTAGAGAGTACAGTACAACTTGATTATAAATAACATCTATTAAAATTGTAAAAAACTTTAAGGGCCCCCCCCTAGACGAATTCCTTCCGGCGCCCATGCCCAGAGCCCCTGTATGTTAAAATCTAAAAAAAATACGTGGATTTATTGCCACTAATAAGGTCTACATTTTATCTTAATTTCAAATCGATACGTTTTTAAATATAAATGTTATTACAAAATATCGAAATTTATCTATTTTTAACACAGTAGAGTGACTTAAGGCCTGAAAACCAGAGCGGCCAATGGATGAAATTGTAATTTATATTGTTATGATTAAATGTAAATTAAATAGGTACTTTGTCAGTTTTTCAATAAGATTGATTGAGGTTTCGAGCTACAATCTTTTTTTTATTGTAAAGTAGGTAAAATCATTGAAATAATTTTCTAAAAAGGACATTAGTCAAATGGCCGCCTCCACTCCTCCTACATAGCCGAATATGATGAGTCCAATTTATAATCACTTTATTCAATGGGAAAGACCAATAACTTTAATTAACCCTACAAGTAAAAGTCCAAAGGTGTTAAGTCACAGCTTCTTGGAGGCCATTCAATATCTGAATTTCTTGAAATAATTGATTCTTCGAACTTTTCACGTAATAAATAAACGAAGTGTATATGTACAGAGGCGCCTCTGTAGATAAAGTTACGGTTATGTACAGAGGCGCCTCTGTTGATAAAGTTACGGTTATGTACAGAGGCGTCCCTGTTAAAAATATCAATATACAGAGACGCGTTGACTTGTATTAAGTATACTATAGTGTTATATGGTTTAAATTCATTTTATTTTCAAACATTAGGTACCATATATTTGAAATGCTAGCGTCTAGAGGCACCGAATTATCTTGGCTCCCTGGCTCCTAGACATGCGCGTTTTATAGAAATGTACTCAAACTCAACAACACAACCCAACCGACCCCGCCCCATTGGGCCCCCCCCCCGCCCCATTGAGCAAAAAACACAACTAAAATGGGCTAATTTATGTAATTAAAAAGTGTTTTATTTTTATCGTAACATAAATTTGCCCATTTTAGTTGGGTTTTTTGCTCAATGGGGCGGGGGGGGCCCAATGGGGCGGGGTCGGTTGGGTTGTGTTGTTGAGTTTGAGTACATTTCTATAAAACGCGCATCTCTAGGAGCCAGGGAGCCAAGATAATTCGGTGCCTCTAGACGCTAGTTAATCTGCCTCTGTACATAACCGTAACTTTATCTACAGAGGCGCCTCTGTACGTATACACTTCGATAAATAAATTGTGTCACGGGCTCTATGGCACGTTGTTAAAAGAAAGACAATGTTCGTTAAATCAGTATTTTTTAATTCAGGCCATGAAAATGATGTTAACATTACAATAAAGGCAGGCTTGTTTATTAAAAAAAAATAAGGTCCGATGATGCCACCGTGACATAAAAGACAGACAGACTTTTGCAGAATGTAAAAGTTTATCGTGAATAGTTTGTGGATTGGCATCA